GGGGGCGCGTGGCGGTGCCGTGTCAACGCTCCGTCCCGCCGAGGCCCATCTTCGCCTCCGTCGCTTGGGAATCCCGGGGCGAGGGGTTTTCCTGCTGCCGCTCTGGATGGCAGTAGCGAGGGGCAGGGAGCTGGGAATCCTGGCCGGGAGGAAGGAAGAGCCCGTCCCCGCAGGGTGTGGGGTCTCCATCCCTCCAGCCTCACCGCTTCCAGCCCGCTTTGCGGTGCGTTGGCCGTGCCAGGATCTGGTGGGAGCTTCCCCGGTCCCTTTCCTTTCTTATTCCAGCCTTTGGAGACTGGGGGTTGAGCCTTCTTTTCCAAGGCAGCAAGCACTCATCCTCTGTCCCAGCTCCCCAGCGACCAACTTCGTATCCGGGTGCGCTGTGCCGGAGTTTGTGTTCCCAGTTATCCCTGAGCAATGGGCAGGGTGAAGGAAACGGACCCTAGTGTTGCTTCGCCCTGTGCCGAGTGTCCGCACACACCGTCTGCGCCGGAGCCCCTAAAGGCACAGGCCTGGCTAAAGGTGCTGCTGTTTGTGGTTCCGTTAAATTTGGGCTGGTGCTGGGGTGAAAAAGGGGATAATGTGATTTTTTTAAATTTTTTTTTGGAAGAGGCTGTTCTGAAGCAGCAGCTAACACCTACTCCAGGGTCATGCGAGAAACAGCAAGGATGCCAAGTGCACTTAGCTGTGCCGACCCGGAGCACGGTGTGATCCTGGCAAACGGTTACTTCCAATTAATGCCCCTTTCTCTGAGTCTGTCTGGGATATTAACATCTCGCCAGCGAGCCAGCCTCCTGCGCCGGTTAGGGGAAGGTGATTTGGTTCAGGTTATGGATGGTGTTCTCTCTTTATTTTATATTTTAGTCTCTACAGAGAAATGGAAAGATGTCACGCGAGCTTTGTCATGACCTGTTTTGGTTTTTTCCATCCCGATGGTATATGTGCACACGGGTTACCACGCTTTGGGTTTAAAGCCTCTCCACCCCTCCCAGATGTTTCCGCACTAAATCACAAGTTTCTTTTGCAGAAGCAGAAACTGAGGTTGATATGCAAAAGAAAATACGTGCAAAGCCAATGTCTGGCTGGAGAAAGGCTCTGAAGGTGGATGGGAGAGGCTGCAGGGCTCACAGCTATGTCTGTGCAAAAATAAACACCTGCTGCTGTCAGCGGGTGCTGCCCATGGACGTGTCTGTACAGTCTGAGCTGCTTAAGCCATGTTCAGCTCTTCCCTGAGTAGTTGCCAGTTCTCTGGATCCTTTTTCTTTCAGCTCCTCCCCATGGTGGGAAACTGAGTTGGGAGGCTATTTGAGTTGAGCTGTTCCACCAATAGGTAATTATAATTAAAAAAAAGCATTAATACATAAATAATTATTGTTATTAAAAGAAGTAATTATTGCCAGCATCAAGGCAGTGTCACATACACTCTTACAGCGTGAAACGTTGTCATCCTTTGGCTGTTTCTTCTTGTAGGATCTCTCTGGGGATACTGCAGTGGTGGTGTTTAATAGCCGCCATTGGATAGGGCGTGCGGTAAAGCCCTCTTTCTTCTGCCACAGCCCCATCCTTCCCTCTCCGCTCCCCTGTTGGCGTTGGTGATGGTGTCTGTGTGGAGAGGGTGCTTGTTCTCGATGGACTTCCAGCCAGAGCTCCTGGCTCTGTACAGAGGGGCAGTCAGGATTCCTCTCAGGCATCTCAGTCCTCTCAACTTACCACATCTTTTTCTTCCAATCTCCCCTGCAAAGTGTTCCCACAGCCCCTGAGGCTCCTGTCTCCCCATCACATCCTTCTGGGTTATGCACTGTGTGTTAACTTTTTCCCTGGTGCTTCTCTGGGATGATCCAGGCAGTGTCCAACACTATTACACAGACCTTTCCCTTTGAAAAGGAGGGGATGAGGAAAAGAAGGGTGAAGAGCAAACTTTGGTGATTTCTTACCAGTCACCACAAAAGCTTTTTTGCTAACATCTCCCATGAGTGGATGGGTTGATGTCATCGTGCTGTCTAAGCACCAAGACTGAATACATGATGTTTGTGCCAGCCTGTGATCTTGCTGTAAAGCCTTTCGTGGTGTTGGTACGCTTCCCCGTTCCTTTTTGGAGATCTTTTTTTTCCTCCGTTGAAATGCCCCTGTGCATCAGGTCACCGCCGTGGCGGAGCGGCCGGGCCAGGGTGATGGTTGGGTTGGGCTCAGACCACGCTCTGGCTGCCGGGTGCTCTGCCCGGCTCCGGGTGCTGCCGGCTTGGTACCTTCAGGAATAATAAACCCTCAGGTCAGCATCTGCAGGGGCTGCGCTTCCCTCCTGCTGTTTGCTGGGAAAACCAGCTGCTCGGCGCTGGGAGGGCTCCTGCTGCCTGTGGCTGTTTGTTAACCACTTGGTCTGTCACGTAAGAAAGCTTTTGGAGTGGAAGCGGTGTTTGTGATGGATGACCTGTCAGGTGCGAGGGTTTGGGCGCTTCCCTGTACGTAGATGTGCTACTGCTTGAAGGAAAGCTCTCGCAGGAAACTATCCTCCGCTGGGCTAAGCCTTAGGAGGCTTGGAGTTCGTGTCTATCTCCGTGCTGCCTAACTGGAAGCGCAGAGCAAGGCAGTGGTTTATCAAAGCAGTGGAAACTGCAGATTGGGAGCTAGGTACTGCTGTAATTTAATTTCTTCAAATGCTGGTCCCCCTGAGGTAGAATGGCAGCTCAAGTAGCCACTGCTTAGTGACCTGATATTTCATAATTTAAGTTAGACTGGTTTTTTGGGATGCAAAGGCTGTGTAGGGCAAAAATCCTGTTCCATCTGGGTAGGGCCTCGCGCACTGGGGATGCAGCAATCTGAAGCATAAACATTAATAATACAGTGGGTATTATTCAAATGAAGGCTGCCACTTTTCCTATGTGGGAATAAACCCCTGGGTAATCACTGCACATACTTATCTGTTCCTATAATTGCTTTCTGCAGAACCACTTCAAAACAAGGCGTGCTGGCAGGATGCTGGGCTCCCTGCTCTTCCCCCAAGTGAGCCGGCCCCTTCGATGCCTCACCCGGGACGTGCATCGTTGCAGGTGGGGGTTGCGTGGGCAGAAGAGGTCTGGCTGTGCCCACCGGGGGCTGCAAACCACATGGGCAACCTACGGCAGTGACGTTACCCCGGTCTTCACGAGGGCTTTGGCTTTCGGCGATAAAGTTGCCATCATTGACCAAAACGGTGAGCACACTTACAGGGACCTTCTCAGCCAGAGTCTGCGCTTGTCCCAGGAGATCTGTAGGGCTCTGGAGTGCTCCAGCAGGGACCTGAAAGAAGAGAGGATCTCGTTTTTGTGCCCCAATGATGCCTCGTATGTGGTGGCCCAGTGGGCTTCCTGGATGAGCGGGGGCATAGCAGTGCCCCTTTACAAGAAACACCCCGTGCAGGAGCTGGAGTACGTGATTCAGGATTCGCAGAGCACTCTGGTTATCGCAGCAGAGGAGTATGTGGGGAAAATCGCCCCTAGCGCTGAGAAGCTGGGAGTCCCGCTTCTCCCACTTCCTAGGCTCCATAGTGATGGATCCGCAAGTCATGCAGCCGTACAAGAGGGTCCCTTGACAACCTGCTCTTCGTGGAAAGACAGAGGAGCCATGATAATCTACACTAGTGGGACGACGGGAAGACCGAAAGGTGTCCTCAGCACCCATGGGAACGTGCAGGCTGTGGTGAGTGCTGCTTTCCCCCTGCAAGGCTCGTGCCAAGTTAGAGGTCTTGGCCTCCCGAGGTGATTTGGGGTTGCACATCCGAAGCACAACACGCCTTTCCACAACCTGATTCCTGTACAGAGCTGTGAGGCTGCATCTTGAAAGTCCTCAATGCTTTTAAGGTGAATACACACGACTTAGAAGGGTTTGAGGCTCTAAATCGACCTTTTTGGTGTTGCTGTGCTGCAGCCAGGGGCGGATGGACTCTTCCCCTTGCTTTCCTGGAAAGCAGGAGGGATGAAACCTGTTGTAAAAAGGCTGCTTTCTTTACAGTTTGCGTTTCTTCACTGTGAGTAGGAAAGAATCTTTGCCCCTAATTGGAATATAACTTAGCCCAGCCCAGTGCTGTGTGAAGTCTGTGCATTATTCAGCTATATATCCCCAAGGCAAAAAATCCATTAGCTCTCTGAGCCAAAAGGAATTAAAAGTTTGAATGAGCCTGCTGACTACCTCACCGGTTGGTTATCGCTGTCTGCAACCGATAGACTCACGCCATTAGGGAAAAAGGGCAGGGAATACATTGTGCCTCACGGATGCCTCCGAGAGCTTAGGGTTGTTCGGGGCGCTCAGATACTGCGGTGTTGGGAGTGGTGTGAAAGCCTTGACGGATATATTGGGCAAAGAATCTCTTCCATTACAAATATGCTGATCATTTGGGAGGAGGCCTGAGCAGCCACCAGCTTTGATGCTGTCTTGCAGAAAGCCTAAAATGTGCACCCTGCCCCGTGGAAGAGGGTTGTGAATGACATGGCTAAATTCCATTACTCAAATAGTTCTTTTTTTTTTTAATTTTATTTTTTAGATGGCTGGAAATAAGATTTCCAGTTGCTAACACTGGGCTCTGAAGGGCAGTGTTCACCCAGAAGCCTGAGGTCTAACGCTTTAAATAATTATCCCTTCATAACAGTATTTTGAAGCTTGATATACTAATAATTTTTACTAACATGAAACCTATTTTCTGTTTATCAGACTGATTTTCTGCTCCTACTGACTATCCCTTACAGGTGCTAAAAGTCCAATGTCACCGGTGTCCAAACTGTGTCAAGAGAATTCTGGGAAAATTAGTTTTTTGATTCCTGTTTCTGCCAACTCTGCTTGTGTGCAGCACCAGACTGATAATTTTATAAGTCCTACTTAAAATCACTGTTGCATATTTATCTCTCAGTAACGAGGAAGGACTTTGCAGGTGTATAGGAGGACACGCAAAGGCAAGATGCAGGAGGTGTTACTCTTGTGTTGTGGTGGGAATTTTGCTCCTGCTGACCCTAAAGGAAAGGTTTCTATCCCCAGGTATTGTTCCAGGATGTCTGAGGTTTCTGCGCCAGCCGTGCCCAGGGGATCTAGGGCCTGGATTCCTCAGGCTTTCCAAGCAGTCTTTCCTCTTGCCCTAATTCCAGGTTGTATGTTTTCTTCTGCAGACCACAGGGCTGGTTGAAAAATGGGAGTGGAAGAAGGAAGACGTTATTCTGCACGTGCTGCCTTTACACCATGTCCATGGGGTGATCAATAAGCTCCTCTGTCCTCTCTGGGTGGGAGCGACATGCATCATGTTACCCGAATTCAGCGCACAGATGGTAAGCCTGGAGGGATTGCGCGTTGTCTTTGAAATTCAGCAGCAAGATCCCTTGCATTGTAATTAGAGCAACTTTGGGAATAAGTTCTTACAGAATTTCAGCCCCTTCAGCCGCTGGCGGCACGCGGCTCCCAAACGGCCCGTTACAAGGCGCTTTCAGTTGGACACAAGGTCTGGGACAAACACGTTCTTCTGGAGGCTACAACTTGTTTAAGCGTGACGTACGTAACTGTAACGCTACGCTGCCTCTCCTCCTGGTGTTGAGGGTCTGTGCTCGTGGGCCCTTCTGAGCACCTACTAGGAGCATCTGAATGCAGAATAAGGGTTTTCTGGTACCAGAAAAGGTGGACATACTGGATTTTTCTCTTGCATGTTAGCAGTGTGCTGCCTGTTGGATTTTTAGTAGCTTGCGTTTTCCCTTCGAAGCCAACATCCTTGTTGTTTTGTATTACATTGCATGACAGAACACAGGTTTTAGACTTTTTTGCAGCCAGGTAAGAGAAATACAGGTGCTCATCACTTGCATGGAAACGTTGCTCTTCCTCTGCAGAGAAACAAGTGTTAACAGATGTGTTGGTTTAGACTCAGCGATACGAGAGGGAGTTCGCAAATGGAGAGCTCCTTGCAGGAGAGGTGTCAGGAGGGAAACCTCCCTTGAATGCAGTAGAGACGATTCTAATGTTGTTTTCTAGCCGAGGCAGGAAACACCAGTCCCAGTGCTCTGCTTCTCTTTTGTTCCTTGCTGCGGTGGCAGACAGACGGCTTAGAGAGGAAGAAAAGGGACTAGAAAGAGGGCAGCCAACAGTAAGGTGGAACAGCTCCTAGTTACCCGCCTCTGGGATCCGGCTCTGCTCGTCTGGGTGTTGTGGGTGGTGAGAGATGCTGGGGACTGCAGTGTCACTGTTAAGGGAGCAGTTGGGTTGCAGGTGCTGGTGCCACCTCGTAGCAGAAAGGAGTCATGCGCTGTCGGCACAGAGCTCCCGTGGAAAGCGAAAGAGCCTGTCAAGCCTGTGCTTTGTAACTAAACAGGCTCCTTTACCTCTTCATATTTATTCATATGCTGGGCGACCTTGTGACACTGAAAGGACAAAGTTCAAAAGTTTGGGTACATCCAGGAGCCTTTGACTGTGCTGCTGTTGGGTGAGGGCGAGCCCAGGGTCCGACCCAAATGGCTACAGGACTGTGTGAGATTTTTTTTTTTTTTTCCTGCTGCTTATTTCTGCTGCTTGGAGAAGCAACCACCGAAAATGCACGCTTCCTTTCTTGTTTCAAGACGGCCCTGACACCTGAACAGCCAGTTGCTGCCTGAGCACTGGTCCTTTGGGGGGTGGTGAAATCCCAGAATCCCAGAGGGGCAGCTCCAGCTCTGCGTTTGCATTTCCAGGGTAAATGGGTAGGATGCTGTGGTAGATGAAGGCAGGAAAATCCCCTGGCATCTGTAGCCAGGGCTGTTTCCTCAATCAAATCATCTTCTTCTGTGTTTAAGGTGTCACCCCGAAAGCTTAGGGTGCAGCAGGGACGCATGTCCCACCAAAGCTGGGTCTCGGAGCATGCCCGGCCTTGGGGATGCTGGCGAGGTGGCAGAAGAGCGAGCTGGCAGCCGGGAATCAAAGCCAAGCCCTCTGGAGGGCGCGTTTCTCCGCGTCCTGTGCCACCCGTGATTGATTGTCCCTTATCCCTGTGTTTCCCTCTGCTCTCTCCCGACATCTGCAAATCGATGAGCTGACGCTGAAGGATGGGTGCGGGAAGCTGGACACCCCACCTGCCTTCTCTGATCAACGCTGTCCCGCCGACGTGACATCCAAGGGCAAGCCGGGACAGCGCTGGGGGGCATCTGCTTGACCCCGGAGCTTGGACTTGGGATGGGAGGTCGGGGTGCCAAGCGTGCCGGCCGCAGCCAGCGCCGTTCCGAGGGCTCTCAGGTGCGGTCAGGCTCTGAAGGATGTCATTTGCTTTTCTATTTGGTGGTGGGGTTTTTTTTATTATTCCCTTTATTTTTCTGAGGGCCTCCCCTGGGAGCTGAAAGTGGTTTGATCGACACTACAAAGCGAGCACATGAGGGTAAATAAGGCTTTCTTGTGGAGTTTAATGCAAGCTGCCTTTCAGTTCCAGTCTATTTTCACCAGCTGTTTACAAAATGCCCTTTTGCTACGAAAATCAGCTTTCAGAAAAGCAGCAGAGTTTCAGTGGAGGATTTTGCAAAAGGAGCCTGAGTTTTGCTGTGCGCTTGCTTTTTTTTTTTTTTTCTTTTTTCCCTTTGCTGCACCTTGAGAAAGCAACCAATTATAGTGTGATATCAAGAAACTCGAATGGCAGCTAAAACACTTGACAGGCTGATCAAAACAAGGCTAGGAACTTACTCTCAACCTGCTGCAGACATATTTAGCCTTGAGTGATACTGGCAAAGGTTCAAGGGAAACCGCAGCAGCATGCCCAACGTGTGTTTGGTTTCTAATCACTAACGCTTCATTATACAAAATAAATACTTTATTATTACAGTGTTTATTAAATTACATAATTTGCGGCGTGCCTTATAGCTGTGGATGCAGATGCCAGTCTGGTTTCGGTAGTGGTAATAATGCTCTTTTTTTTTTTTTCTTAGTCAGAAGGTATTTCAAGCCCCGGACCAAGGTTTGCTTGTCACTCCCTGCAGTGCACTGTTAGGAGGTGGCATCTTTCAGACCTTTACATCTGGTTTTGGTAGCTTTCCAAGGAAAGGTTAAAAATCGAGTCTGTGGAGTAACCCCAGTGTCCTGACCAACAGCCACTCTCATCCTAAAAACAGCAGCCGATGTCCGTGGCGGCATGCAAGCCATTGCTGAGGCCACAAGGGCTCGTTAAATGTATCGAGATGCCTCAAGCGTGAAAGTTGCTGCATAAAATCAGATTCTTTTTATTAAATGAGGACATCCATTACTCTGCACTAGCTACTGTACATGTTATAATTCACTTTATAGCACCATCTGTTAAGACTGTCTCACTTCAGCTTTTTGCAGCATCTTTTTATTGTAAGTTATTAAAAAATACGGCTGCATCGATTAATCATTTATTAATAAAGGGTTTATAAATGGACCCTTAATTTCCAGCACTTCAGTCCACTGGTACATGATGTTCTAGGTCCTCTGGTGTGTGTATTCTGCGGGGTGTGGTGACTCTCCATAGGGAGCACTTTTTGGGCTGCTGCCTGGGGACCGTGAGAGCGGAACCCAGCGGTCAGGGAGCTTCTGGTGCTCGGGAAGGACAGCGCTGAGTGCGGGGGGGAGACTGTGGCTTGGAGAACAGCAGTGAGCCTGAAAGTGCATTCCTTCCAGCAGCTGTGTGGGGCAAGGGGGGCTCTGATGGCTTTTCCCAAGGGTGAGAAGGGGGGGGGCAGAAGCCTTTGGAGCCAGAGCAAGCTGCAGCCTAAGCATCCCTATAGGTTCCTCCCATAACTTGCTTCCAAGCTGAGTTTGCTTCTCCAGCTGTGCTGTTCCTGCTTGCAGGCAGCCAGCATTTCTCAGCTGCTTCCAAACCCATTTGAAATGCCTGCTTTTTTCCTTACGTAGGAGTAGAAATTTTAAAGATGCTGGTTTGGTACAGTTTTTGTGCCAAACGGTGGCCAGGGGAGAAGAAATTAATGCCTCCGCTTAAGGGAGGAGCGCAAGGTGAGCCTTCTCCTTACTGGGCATCAGAGAAAGCCCATGACCAGGTGCTTTCTGAAGGCCTCTGGGTATCAGGCTTTGCACCAAGCAGATAGAGCATCCATTCCCCAGCGACTCCTTCTCTCCATCTCCCTTCCCTGCATCGATTCAGTGGCGGCTGCTGAGGCTGAGCGCACCCTGTGCCGTGACTCGATGGAAATGTCAGTAAGTCTGGAGAGACAGACCCAGGGGAAGCCAGGCATCCTCCATGCCAGCTCTTTTCCCATGGCACTCACACGTTGACGGCCCCGTTCCGGATTGGGAGCCGGCTGTGCCGGGCACCCTGTGGGCAGGAGCCTTTCGGAGCGAGTTGTGAGGTCAGCGTGTGCTTTGCAGGGTCCTTGGCTGAGGCGTTCAGCCGACGTGGGTCCACTCAGAGTCTGAGTGATGGGGACGGCTTGTCTTTGCCTTGGACCACCTCTGATCTTGCCTTAAGGGAAAGATGTTCTAATAGCAAAAGGCTCCCTGTCAGCTCTTTGCATTGATAAATGTGAGATCGGATCCCGGGAGGTCTTTCAGCCTTAAGTGCAGGAGGGGAAATAAAAGTATTCAAAAACATGAAGGAAAAAAAACTTGCTGTGATGGGGGAAGCTTATAGAAATCTCGACTCCGTGTGACCTCGTTGTGGTGTGCTCTGCCGGGCAGGTTGTGTGCTGCCTGCAGAATGACAACGCTGTCTGTGCCCTGCAACCGCTTCCATGATAAATATGCCAAGATGCAGATTTATTGCCCTTAAGTTCCAAAAGGAGACGCTCTTTCCGTTGCAGCGTTACCGCTTGTCTGACTTAAGGTGCCTCTGAGGGTCAGGTCCTCTGAAAATCAGACCTGGTTTTCAAGTGTCACACGCAAAGCCGTCAAAATTGTGAATTTTATTCGGACCCTTCTTTCTAGGCGTTTGTCCTGATGGGAATGATGAGTGCCCAAAGCTAGTGTGCGATATGGGACTAATTCCCCTGTGTGCTGTCACCCGTGGCAGCTTTTTCCTCTGATGGGAGGGTGCTGGAGACATGATGCTTGTCAAGGTTGCTCCGGGGTCGCTGGTGCACCCTGCATCGAGCCTTCCTCCTGAAGTCTGTCCTTGCTGCTGTTGTGATCCGTGAACCAGGCGAGGCTGGGCACGACTACCTTCGCAGGGCTGTGCGGGAAGATCCAGGGCTTGGCAGTCATGGTTGCCGCCGGGAAGGAGAAGCCTGTACCACAGCAAACCTCTCCCCTGGATCTGTCGCTTCTGCAAACATCACTCTGGGCAGCTCTTTTGGGTTATTTTTAAAAGAAAAGCAAATCCAAGCAGAGGGGTCTGGTCTCCAATAACCAAGCACGG